TTGGTATTAACGATAACTCGCTATAACGATGAAAATGTGACCTAACGGGAGTATCGTTATATCCAGTCTTGACTGTAACTATTGATATAAACGTTCGTTGTTACCGTCGTGAAAAAATTTCCCGAAAACTATGCTGAAATATATGGATTACCAAGTCCTGGTAGAAATGTCTACCGAATTATTCAATCGCTTACAATTTTGCCAGCCGAAACGAGTTACAATTGGTCTATCGTAATTTTACTACAGGTCTCAAAAAAAACAATCACACATTGAAATTGTTAAAAGAAAACGACAGTATGAAGCGAGAGAGGAAGCGGAGGGATTAACTTGTAACTTTCAATAAAGTTAGAGTTTGTTTTTCTACTAAAATATATATTATATAGGTTGCATTGGAGCAATAGCTATATACAGTAACGTGCAAAAGTACCCTACCGGTTGTAATCCAGGACAGGAATAATCAAACGCTTTGAGAATTTTTCTGCATATAGTGTATAACAAACCCTGATCATGTGTAAAATTTCAGATCGATCGGATGTTTACAGTTTCAAACATCAAATATTTCAACGAGATATATTTACTGTATACCCATATTCAAATTTAGCCATAAATTTTCAAAATTTTATATCTCGACTCCTTCCCAACCGAATCTTGTAAGTTTTTGTTGTTGTTGTTGTTGTTGTTGTTGTTGTTGTTGTTTTTTTCATTTGTTTTCCTAGACCATCAGCATGCGTTTAAATAATCGTTTGAACGAATTACCGTCATGTAATTGCTACTAAAAAGTTGCAAATAATTATGTGACATGATGATAATTGATGATATCATATACGCGTATTGCCAAATATAGTAACAGTTTCCTCCTAATTTTGACTGATTCCTAAGAAACATAAAATTTAGTAAACAATACAAAAAAAATTATACAAATCGATACAAACAGGTGGAGATGTTTTTAACGGCTTAGATAGATGATTTGCTGTAGGCATCCGGATTGATCTGAAATTTTACACATAATCATAGGGTTTGTTTTATACACTATATGTAAGAAAATTCTCAAAGCGTTTGATTTATTCCTGTCCTGAATTATAACAGGTAGAATACTTTTGCACGTTACTGTAATACGTAAATCATTATGGTAAAAAAACTAAACGAATTAATTTGAAAAGAGAACTGTGAGTTAAAAATAGAGAAGTAATGAATTCTAAAATAGACCCGAAGGAAAGCTGAAGAAAAGATTAGAATATACAAACTAGAAACTGAGAGTGTTAAAGAATCGTTAGCAAAAGAATTGGAAGAAAAAATGTATTGATTGAATATTGAAAAGAAAGAGCTGAATGAGGAGAGGAAGAAGCTGAATGTCATTATGATGCAGTTGGGGTTTGCCAAAGATGAAATAATTGACAAAAAGAAGAGTAATTGTTCATCTGTTTTGGATTTCGCAGTAACCAGAATACTATTCTCAATTACAGTTAGTATTTGAGGGTGCGCTCGTAATAAGACATATGACTTAGTTTTGAATTTATTCATAACCATTCACGCCTTGTCAGGATACATGCACTGTGAGGATCATTTATTGTCTTGAGGGACCAAAGGCTTTAGCTTGACCAGACATTTTCCGAGTTTAGTGAATAATCTAATAACAATACATTATTCTAATATTTCGATCTCTAGTAAAATTCTAAAAGAATTAAGTATTACGCGAACGTAAAACGAAACTAAATGCATGATTATGGCAAGTGTAATATTCATTATAGATAGTTCTTCGTTATTAAAAAAAGAACGTCAGTTTATCTGATGAAGTAAATTAGTTCCCTTGATAATGCAACTCTTGCATATCAAGTCCTTATAACTTAGAGATTACTCTTTCTTCACGGAAAAGTGTGTCACTGCCTAGATTAACATCTACCGTAACACTGTTCAACGGTTCTCTTGAAGCCCACTCACACAGAGTCTCGTACACTTTGCCATCATATCGCCCAAGTGCCGACTGCAACGTATAGTCTGAAAATCTGAATGAATCTACCAATGCAACAGCATTAGGTCTGACCTCTTTAAGTAAGGCCAATACTTGATCTTTTACCATCGTTGACTGAGTTGGAGATAAATATCCAGATGAAAGAAATTCACCAAATTCTTTCTGCATCGTGTGGAGGGCGAACAGATCGCGTAAAGTCGTCAAAACAGATTGTATTTCGGGCTTCTCCTTGAAAAATTTATCATATTGACTGTTTGATTTTGGTTGTAATGCTTCGATAAAATTACATACTAGCACATATTGACAATGCGCGCGAGAAATAGCTGCAATATCCACTAGCAAAGAATTCCAAGTACGACCATGATTGTCTAGCTGATCGACTGCTGCCGCTATCATGTACGCTGCTCGATGACCAAAGGCTTGAAGCTGGATTTCAGGTTTACGAAAGTCTTCTGGTGACTTAGCAGGGCAAGTGCATTTGGGATTGTTGAGATATCGTTGGAGATATGTGACCGTCGGATCGACCGTTGCCGTGAGCGGAGCGGAACTGATAAGCTGACGATAAGTTTTGAACAGCTAAACAATAGTATTATGAAAGGATAATTAATAAAACTGACGGAATGAATCAAAGTCATTTCAGTTGATTGCTTGTTGCAATGTGACTTACATATCGTGCTACTTGCTGAGTTAAAAGATAATTATCTCCTTCCCAGGTGCTATTTGGGGCATAGTTCTGCGAGTATGTGACAAATCCACTAAATTTCGAATAGCCGTGTCCACCGCATGCAAGCCTACAGTCTTCAAGAGCCGTGACGGCCATCGTAGTAGTAAGTGACTTGAGACCTGAGCTAGAAGCATGTAGATAAGCAAGCAAAGAGAAGTCGCCTTTCTCGCTCTGTTTGATGTACGTCTCATATAGATCTTTTAATGCCAGACCGGCGAAATGGCATGCATATGCTTGTGCAAGTACGGGAAACAGTCTATATTGTTGAATAACATAGTCTATCACTGGGCTTTCAATAACACGCCTATATGACGAGAATAAATGATAAAGTTGGGGTTAATAAAAACATCCATGCGTTTCCTAGAACATGAATTACTCAAAGACTGTATGCAATATAACAGCTTGTTTCCTACCCATTGTTCCATTTCTTAGGATTCTCCGGATCAACGAATTGCCTTCGAATAGCAGAATATCTAATAGAAATAGTAGCAGCACGTGCGAGAGCGCGTCGAGCTGCGAGTACGAAATAAACACGCATCAATACCATTGTACCATACGCAAGTCTGGCGTTTGGGGGTTTGGTATATCTTCCGGTGCCCTTTTCTACTTGTGCGTATTTTGACAGCATGTTAAATCTGGGGATTCGAATTTTGTTAAGCAAAAGGAAGCCGTTGTCTATACTATTATATCCAAGTTTGGGACCAATATCTCCAATAGTGCGCCCTGGCAGTGGTTTGTGAGTCTTCAGGTCACGAAGTTGAACAACAAACAGATGCGGACCGTGATCCTTCCCATTGCTGATCAAGCGAGCCATTACGACAGCATAATTAGAGGTAATACCTAACGCACCAACCCACCATTTAGCAGCTGTCAGATAAGGCGAATTGATTTCGAATTCGTCAGTCTCTGGAATATATGTAGCAGTCGTTTCCAAGCCCTGAACATTGGACCCATGACCAAGTTCGGTCTGTGCATAACATCCTATTATTTGATATCGAAGAGCTGGTTTGAGGAACGCTTCCTTCTGTTCATCGTCTGCCTGCGACATTAAACTAGGAACAAACATTCCACGATGGGCCATAAACTATCAAGAAATAGATGAATGTCAATATCGTCTTTGATTATCGATCGTAACGACAAAATGTCCGGCACTAACTTGAGATGGTATATCTAAAATCTCTTCGGCCATTTGAAGTTCGTCAATTCCCCAACCATGTTTTCTAGTTACAAGCATCACTGAACATTAATATTACCAAATCACAGCAACAAAATGAGTGATTTCTGCAGGATAAAACTAGTGCGCGAATTCTTTATAGCCTACCTCATAAGCTTGGCAAGTCTTTTTTCCTTTCTTAATGACGCCTTGTATAGGTCTTCTCGTCCAAGATAATAATGAGCACTTTTGTCAAACGCAGGATCCGCCTCAATAATCTCTTGAACGCGAGCATACTTGTTCATTTGCTCGGCTCCGTAGATAAGGTCAGTCAAATCATTTGGTCGAAAAGTAGCTTGTGCTCGTTCAGCAGCGAGCAAATCAGAGCCCTGCGGCTCAGAAGGCTGTAGGTCTGGAAATGTGACGTACTTAGTTGTCATTTTGTAATGTAATTCAAGAGAACTGGGTTGCTTTTTATTGAAAAAGTCTCAGGGTTGAATGTCATATGATTGTCTTACCATACCTTATTCAAATAATCAGGTTATCTGCAAAGTCCAGTAATGGACAAGCTCATCCGATTTGAACTTCCGACTATTATGACTCATCATAAATGGGCAGATTATCGTTACACGTGTGTTCTTTAGCATTGTTTTTACTTTATTTGTCGATTAATTTTTCGGCGGACTATTTTCCGGTCTTGGTTACTAATATTACTCCAAGTCCTACATCAACTGCCGAAGCAATTCTTCCCACTAGAAGGTTATTGTCTTTAACAGTTAGATTATCTTCGAATAAAATATCTTTAATTGGAATTTCTAACGTGTTCATACTGTTTACAAAATAAGATCTGGTTACAATAAAATTTGGTGTCAAAATACTCTATTTTTACGCGTCTCACAAACATTATTCTAATCGTGTTTACGAGTGAATTAGTTCGCTTTCGCTATATTTATATGTAAATAATAAATTGACTCAATTTATTGCTGATCGTGGTATTCTTGATCGATATCAAGTTGGCAAAAACCGTAGTATGTATGCTCTTAAACAATACTTACAAAATAACAGTTTTGTTTTTAAAAGCTATCTATTAAAATACAAGCACTATATTGGCAGCTGTTTAACCATTTACATAACAAGGAGACCATATCATAACTCGATTTTGTTAGGACAATATATACGGTTAAGCCCCGTTATGCCAAAAATGAGTTATACCGATTTTTGTTATATCGAAGCAAGATCTCCCCGTTTATATTTAAATTTAATCGTTATTACAAATTTCGATAAAATTTTTTTAAAGCCGTGATAGCTTTACCCAATTATTATCATAGAAATCAGTTTAATTAAAATTACACGCCCCTTGTTTACAACGCAATTGTTATCATTTGTCATCTAACACGCAAACACGCGTTTGTTAACGTATATATCCCACCCCTTCTCTCTCCTTTTCCCATCAAAGCGCAAATGCAATGTTTAATAATACAACAACAATTATTTGTCGTCCCACTGTATACGCACATACGGCACGAAACAAGTTCTCGGAACAACGAACTCTTAACACCCGACAACGACAACACAATTTATCGACCGCTCGCTCATGAAGACTTCTGCTCATATATATAACTCAGACCTATCGCTGTCCGACAACCAAGTCAAACTACAGCGAACAATTCTTTGCCGCACTCTATATTACGCACGTACGACAAGTTTGTTACATACAACTCACGGACAAGTCCTCTAACGATACGGCACAGTTTATCGACTACTAACTAACGAAGAAGTCCAAATACGCGCTTCTCATATACGGCCAGACCGCAATAACCACACCACATTATGAAGAAAACAAGGCATGTGGATGGTTTGACATGTTTCGTTTGGGTGGGGCCGGGGTGTTTATTCAATTGAAGTAT